TGATATGCTAATGTAAAGAACCGAACTGTGTTTGTGACTATATACAGATATACACATATATATTGTATATGAAAAGTGGATTTTTAAAATAAAAGAAGTCATTGCACAAAAGTGGTGGGATCCCTTAGGGCATGAACTTGTAAGTACTTTAAACTCTCTATTTTATTCAGTCCTATCCATGACTAAATTATAGGTATGAGAATTGCTCTGTTTTTTTTATCTTGCTTTCATTTTTCTTTAGCTTGAAACAGTGAAAATGTAAACTCTTTCACCATGAGATCAGGGCATTGTTCTCCCCCCCTTTCACTGAGTTAATGAACAGAAAAGAGCATAAGCGAAAAAGATAGTTCAAGGGTGTGTGTGTGAGTGAGAGTGAGTGTGAGACTGAGCAAAGCTTAATGGATTTGACAGAGAATAAGCGTCAAATGAGTTACTGAATGAGGGAGATAGTGAACATATCAACGAGAGTGAGATAGAATGAATAGGAATAAGTGTGACTGAGTGTTTGAGTAAAAGATTAAGGGGTGAGACTGAAGAAAATCTAGGTGTATGTGAGGGTAAAGTAACAAGGGTGAAAGGGTGAATTACTGAGTGAGCAAATACAGGTCTGAGACAGAGTGACAAGACAGAGTGAGAGCTTATGTGAGTTGATGAATAAAAGTGTGAGTGAGTATTAATCTGTGTGAGATGAGCATACATGAGTGAATGTGAGAGAACGGGGCCCAATTTTAACCAATCCAAAACCCATCACAAACACACAGATAAAATTCAGCCCATATGTGACAGTGACTGAGTCTGGAGGAATGAATGACTGAAAAGAGGCAAAAATCAAAGGATTTGCAACAGCCTGCATCAAGTTGCAGCCTCAGCACTCAACTTCTCACCTACTCACTCGATCATATTCAAATCTGATAGGAGAGAAGACAAAATTCAGTTTTTATGAACTATAAATACTATTAAATGCTGAGATAGACACAGGTTATAGTTTACATTCTCCAGTCGATGAGTTTGAAGTCAGAGGAGCACATAAGATTCAGTGGTGGCCTGTCTACTGTTTACCTACCCATCCCTGACCCCTCTGACATTTTACTAGAATAACGGCTGGAATAGGATCAGACTGAAAACCAAATGGCCTCATTCCAAGTGGATTTAACCATCAGTCGAAGGGCTTCGTGCCAGACACCCAGCCTGGCAAGTTTCCTTGTGTGGGCTGGAAATAGGTAAGAGTGTTATCACCTCACATTAACACCCCCAATGGCCTCTGAAACCCTGGCTCTCCTCTTGCCATGGCCTTCCAACCTGGCCCCAATCAGACACCCCAATCAATTACCAAGCCCTGATCCAGTGCTAAGTGCCTCCCTGAATCCTGAACGCAGTACAACAGTGACTGCCGTTCCTGAGATGCAGTTGGTAGTGAAGAGTTGCTGACCTCTGATGGCTGGCATTTTTCTCTGAGACAGAGTTATCTATCTCCTGAGGGGCAGGAATCCAACACCTTTACTATTGTTGGCCAACTGACCATTAAATGGCTGTGGGCCAGTTACTTTCCTGTTAAGCCTTGAGCAGGATCTCCAACCTTAGAGACAGGGGCAGATAGCTGCAGTGATGGAGATCACACCACTCCATAAAATCTAGGCCCAAGACCTTGTATGCAGTGGCTAAAATACAAAAAGCAGTCTGTAAGCTTCCCTAAAACTCACACACTGAAATAGGAGTGTTTTGAAACTCAAGCACATTAGGGTGATTAAGTTCGTGAGTTTCTAATTGGATAGCTCCTTTAAGGAGCTAAAACATCTTCTCCTGCACTATGTCATTCTATAAAGCTACCACTTCTCTTTTTCTCAACTGTTTTTTTGTTATCTCATGCAATCATGCCTTGTCATGGTCACATGTGCAGATTTAACACAAGATTAATGACCATTTGGAACAAACAAAAACAAAAATTGCTGGAGAAACTTAGCAGTCTGGCAGTGTCTGAGGAAAGACAGAGAGAGAGACACACACACACCTGTTAAACAGCATGAATACATTCTTATCTAATATTAACATACATGCATTTCCAGTGGGGACAGGAGGTAAGCAGGTAGGTGGGAAGGCGGTAGGAGGGTGGAGAATAGTGTATGGTCACTGAACGATTGCCTCAAACTAGAAGCAAGGCTACTTGTTCCTTTTTCCAGTAGAGGAGTGAGGGTACCTTGATACCCCAATAGTCATCTTGAAGTGCTCAGTCGAAACTGAATTACTTTTACAATGTGCTAATACTTCCCATCGCATCACATGGACCAGATCTCTCCAAATTCATCCTCATGGTAACTTCAAAAGTACGTCTATCAGCAGTATGCTAATGAAACTTCAAATGCTATTCCTTTTCAGAGTGATCCTACAGACTGCATGTATAACATCTTATACATTGAGTTTTTCAACCATTATATAAGAAACAGTCATAAATATTACAGGACCACTGCTGACGTACAATCACTATTCTTTGTCTATTGGCCCCTGCTGGAAGTAAATAGGTATGTTGGGTGCTTGGAAACAGGATAGCCTCAATTGTGGTGTCCCAATGGTTGAACAATTTACCAGCACTCACCGTATAAACTCTTCGAAAAAGAATGAATGACATACCAAAAAGTGACCAATACTAATAAAGCCCTATCCCAAGAGTTGAGCCACTCAAGGAGGAGAGGTAAACAGAATATAAAACAACCACACTTGTAAATCATATGTGTTCTGTTTATACGTGATGCTTTTGTAAATATTTAAAATGTCCAACTGTTTGCTTAAGATGTGTACAGTACATGGATGCTATAAACGCAGGACAGGTTTTACTTGTCTGAATAATTGCCTGATAATTATACCGATAATAATAAACACACAAGGTACCATAGAAGGCTTCTTTTTTGCCTTGAGCTTTAACTATTTTAGGAAAGAATAATAACTTGAAGTATTATTAAACACCATAGACTGCTGGATAGCTGAAGGCCACAGACAACTAAATACAAATGGCTATAATAAAAACCAAAAAGAAATTGTCAATGTTGGAACTACAGATCAAGTCTGTAGTTGATGTGCCTCTCCATGAAAAATGAATCTATCTGAACTGGCTTCAAACACCCTAAAACCTAATATATGTCTCACATTCACTGTTTCTGTCTTGCTCCTAACACTAGCTGATCAAACTGTAAATTCTTTCTCCTGTATAATATTGAAATTGAACAGAAGTATATATGTCCTGGCATATTACAAACAGCAATATTTAAGGCATATTTGTTCATATGAAGAGTGAATGGTAAACACTATAGGTGATGCATTGAAATCTGTAAATGATACAGATCGGATATTTAAGCATTTCTCCCCGATATATTTTGTCACCCTTTTAAGACAGCTTTATTAATACACCATACTCAATGCACATGCTTTATGAATCATAATTATCATCCAGCCAGACTAGATCCTCGCGGGAAGAGCTGAGTGGTTTATTGCAAATCCACAGTTCTATGCACCAGACATTGGAGGCAGCATTGTAAACAAGTTCAGTTGGACCGTTGATGTGAAGTTTTTTTTAAATCTACCCGTCCCTTTGCAGCTAAAACATTTTCATGTCTACGCTGGGATTTCAGGAGACTGAGTTTTATTTAAGGCGTTATTTTAAGGAGCATGTCTTTGGCAGGGAGTGGGGGTGTGGTATTGACAGCTTCTCAAGGACGATAGAGACTGCCAATCCATCCGGCATTTTATCCCAAAGGGTTACCGTACACAAGACTTATCTGTGACATAAGCTGATCACCACCAAATGCACATCTCCCAGATACCTCATTACATAGATCCATTTGCTTCAACGCTTTTTTCCAAATTTAACTTCGATGTGAATGGCACTGCAAACACATTGCCGCAATACCTAATTTATTGGGTTTTATGTACCGTTTATGTGCTTAAGTCGATGAATTATTTCTGTATATTGATTCAATTTGTAAACTGAATGCTATCGATCCGTTGGTTGAACTCGCGGTTCACGGTGATCTATTACAGGTTAATAACCGCTTTAAGACAAGATCCAGTCATTCCAACACGTTGTATTATTCTCTGCCATACACTAATATCATTCCACAACTTCCAATTGCAGGACTGATCCAGCGGCTAACTATGCAAGGCATGCTCACAAGAAGCTCGCAAACAAGGAACATAGCAGAGAGAGCTTTCGCTGAGCATCCCACAAACAAACAAATGCCAGAGACTAATCTAATTTGGAATTCTGTTTAGAAATTCATAGTTCAGTGTCAAAGCACCAAATGCAGTTCCCCCATCCAAACAATTCCATTAAGTAGAGCTCTGTCTCTCTCTCTCTCTCTCAGTGAAATGTACTATTCGTGAAGCAGCTGCAACGGGTCATTTACACTGTCGCCTACATGTGACCCTTGGTATAATTTTGAAATTTATTAACATGATGGCGGTGGGTGGACTTGGGATCCGATTTACAAGCGTTTATGGAGAGCCCCGCCTCTGCTAATTGCGGGTCCAGTGTTGTTATTAAGTACTCATTTGTCCTTTCTTTTCTGTTCCTGCTGGATCGCTGCTTGAAGTGCGCCAGTAACCTTATGGCACGGCTTCCGATTTGGTGATATTTTGAAAACACGCCCTAATTTCTCAGAAAAAAAAAACAGGCGGCCGGTTAGCTACAGTACATGTATAAGCACTGAGGGCCCCCCACGTGAGGAAAAGGACAACTGAAATAAGTTCCTTTACAACAAAATAGATAAGTTTAAAAAAAAAGGTGGCTTAAAGTGCTGTGTAATATTGAAATCCTGAAATGTATTATGCCTGTTGGTCTATTAATTACTCATATTGGCCAAAAATACTCAGCGAAATGTTGTCAAGATCATTGGCTGATATTTCCCTGTGTAGTAGAGTGTGGTTTGTTTTGGATCTGTACTTTAGTAGATCTGAACTGTATCTGCATCAAATCGTACTCGGGTTGAAGGCATAGCACATAGTTTACTTACGTAGCGCTTTAATTTCTTTTCTGGAGGTGATTTGATGAGCCAGCCAGTGTAAACGATGTCTTCTGCGCTCATTGCTGCAAGTGGGGAGACTTACTTCTCGGGCAGATTTATGTTCTGTGCTGTGTTTTTCCTCCTGTTGTTAGCGCTGTCACTCAGCTTCTCCATGCACAATGCGGTGTAAAATCCATCACAATATCTCTCATCTGTCTATGGCACAAGTTCCTTGCGTTAGAGGCGGAAGCTCCGCGAACGACCGTAGACACTAGTTCTCCCACCCATCGCACAGATCCATCCAATAATAGTCACACTATGGTATGACGTTCTGTAAACAACAACACACATAGTATCGTATCCTCTCCCCAACAAATGCAGAAAGAAAAACTGAAAGCGCTTTCAAGTGAGCTCCCAAGACACAATTGTGGAGTAAAATGGGAGTTTTATTTGAGAAAAATGCTTCGAATAGCTTTATTCTAAGTGAAATAAGCCCAGTTTTCTTTTTTAAAACAAATGTATTTCACTTGATGTAGCCTAAGCCCTGTTGTTCCTGTATTTTTGGATGTTGACAGGTTAGTTGTTTTCACACGGTTCAGTCTCTGACGAAATATATTCGGTTTTCAAATATTGGATCTAACACCTTGTACAATTGGGCGACTGGGTGAAATATTCTTCACAGTACTACAGGGCGAGTTCAAACTGCGGATCGCTGATATACAGCAGATACGTAGAGACTTTGTCTCAGCAAACAGAGTTGACAAGACATGCTGTACTTTCATCAAACCCGCGGCTGTACAACATTGTTTTTGTTCTTCTTGATTAATTATTTCTTTTCGAATTATTTTTCTTGTCGCTCTTTTTGGTGCTTTATGTTAATATATGAATTAGCGTTACAAAACTTTTATAAAATGCTCACATCGGGGAGATTTGATGTTGTAAGCGCATACAAACGTTATAAAAATGCAAGTTGTAAATTGTTTACTGTTTTCCATTCCCAAGAACCGCACACTTTGTTGACGCGGTATTCATTCTGTCCATATACAGTGATGGGATGAAATGTTATAACTAAGCATTATAAACATAGTTTTCATGGCAATCACTCTCTGACACATAACCTGCCTGCCATCATTCATCGCATTCCTTCTAATCTCTCCCAGTTTGGATCAATAGTTCAATTAGCAGTATTTCCCTGCTGTTTCCTATAATTCTTCCTAAATTGCAGAATCGGAATCTGCATCCTCACCGTATCAAAACCAAACGTCATTGCAGTATCCAGCTCTCTCTCATTTTTCCTGAGGAGCCCCTGGCCAACTTTAGTCTTTCTAGGCTTTTCATTGTCATTTTTCAGATGCTGAATGGTTTCTTTAATCTCCAATTTAATGGGCAGGATGTGCTTGCTCACTATGAGGGAAATGCTCCAATCAGAATATTGGTAATGGTTCTGGATGTATTTAAGAAAATCACATCTACATGTAACCTAACAGGCAGTATTTGAAGGGACCACGTGCTCAGTGGCAACTATCAAGGTACGTTTTAATTTACCTGAAGTTAGATCCAGAAAGATCTTGATTCTCCCAACTTCGTAATCAATGAACATAAGCTTTGATGACCAATATCTGCCAGTATTCCACCAGCCCTGCATCCAATTACCAGAGGACTGTTGCTACATCAAACTGCCTAATTTTTGATGAATCTATCCTGGGTGAGCTGCCTTTTACACTTCCACTTTAGCATGTCTCAAGTTTCACCATTTAGGTATACACTGAGCTCACCACATGCGGAGAATTAAAAATGACCAAACTTCCAGGCTCATATGTTACCAGCTTCAAAACATCGGTCAATGTTAAGGACTCCCAGAACAACTCCCTCGTGACTATATACCATTGGGTTGCCACTGCTGCTTGGTCTGTCTTGCTGGTGGGACACAACTACCCAGGGATGGTGATGATGGTGTCTATTATGGTGGCGTTACAAGGTTGTGATACCACGAATATGAATATGTCAGGCTTTTTCTTGACTATTCTGTGACACAGTCCTCCCAATTTTGGCAGTAGCTCCAGAGGGTGGCACGGTGGCTAATGGTTAGCACTGCTGCCTCACACTGCCAGGGACCTGGGTTCGATTCCATCCTCAGGTAACTGTTTGTGTGGAGTTTGCACATTCTCCCTGTGTCTGCGTGGGTTTCCTCCCACAGTCCAAAGATGTGCAGGCTAGGTGGATTGGTCATATTAAATTGCTCATAGTGTTCAGGGAGTATAGATTAGGTGGATGGGTCTGGGTGGGTTATTCTGAGGGTCAGTATGGACTTGTTGGGCTGAAGGGCCTGTTTCCACACAGTAGGGATTCTATGATTCTATGTTATCAAGGAGAACTTTGCAGGGTCAACATGGCAGAGTTTGCTGATGGTATTGTTTTCAGTGCATAGGTCATTGCCAGGTGGTTCATACAGTTTCATTCTTTTTCTGAGACTTCTTAGCAGTTCATTAAATATAAATGGCTTGCTAGGCCATTGCAGAGGACACTTAAGAGTCAACCACATTGTGGGTCACATGTAGGCCAGACCAGGTAACAGCAGCAGTAGATAAAGCAGTGAAACAGATGGCTTTTTATTACAATTGACGATGAATTCATGATCATAATTAGACTTTTGGTTCCAAAGTTTATTTTGAATTCAACTTCCACAATCTGCCTTGGTGTATTTCAGATCTGGGTGTCTGAATTCCTGCATGGCCATTAACTATATCACTAAAGTGACCACTTCCCAACATTTATTTTTATGATGAAGATAATAATGTTAGAATGAATTTTCTGGAAAGGATAACAGAAAGATGTTATGGTTGTGTTAGAATTATTCAGTTCTGGATTCTTGTGGACAAATGGCAATCATTTCAGAGCAAGCATTCTAGCCAACCATGTATTGATCATTTCCCTGAAAGGATTATAAATCCTGCAATATATAGATAATTTATTTCTAGCCTATGTCATATATAATTAGGTTTATAGAAATAAAATAGTGTATCACATATGAACAAAATGGTTTCTGCTGATTTTTAGAGCAATCCCGAGGTACAGATGCTCAACACATATAGTGAATTTTTGTTCCCCTTATTGCTAACTGTGGATATTAACAGTTTGATGATGAAAATTAGTGGCAAAGCTCATGAGTAGTCCATGCTGACACTAACATTGAGATATTAAGCCCCGAAGACTTTGGTGGTCATATTTATTACAAAATTAAATAACCACAGTATCTCACACTTGCTGCTAGCTTCTGGGCCTTTACAGGCCCTTAGAGACAAGGCTGCATCTTCTTAGGTGCACAACTGATACATTGCACTGATTCTGGCATGACAATTACTAAAGCTGACAGTCAAATAGTCTGGATGCAAGTCGGGGACACTGTACACATATATTCTGTGGTATGTCTGCCCTACTGCCATTATGATACTTGTCTTTAGCACGACTCTGTCATAATCATTGATACAGCTGTAAGATGTGTGCAGTTGTGTCAATTCCATTCCTATGCACCAGCTAAGCTCCACACCAACAGGTTAGCTTGAGCTGTTCATCAATATTAAACTCTAAACAAGGAACTGTTGTTGCTCCTGCACAATATTCACACCCTCACCTTCATTTTCTGTTTTCCATTGCTCCAAAACCTTATTTTACTGTAGCAATTCTTTTAGGCAGACTGGTAACTTAAATTATGACTGCATCACTTTGGGTGGAGCCTTCACAACCTCCAAATAACATTGGCCATGGTGAGAATGTTTGCTAAATTGGGTGAGATGGCCAGCAAAGAGCTTCTCGAGAACGAAAAACCACATTTTCCAACCAAGTTTTGAATATCAAGTCAAGATTTGTGCTCACGAGAGGTAAGAGGACTGTTTGCATGGGTTAGCATCCCATTATTCTTTAACCTTGTTTCATTATTATGCATAACAGAGTGTGGAGCTGGAGGAACACAGCAGGCCAGCCAGCATCAGAAGAGCAGGAAAGTTGACGTTTTGGGTTGGGACCCTTATTATGCAGTTTCCCATTCTTCCACCCACTGAATAGAAATCAGATTCTAAGAATTGCCAACGTGGAAGTAAGAGCTGTTACCTGTTGACTCCAGCTTGCAATTTGCTGTTCTGGACCTCAGTCTTGGATACCCAGCACCAACATCTCAGGGCACACACCATTGACAGCATACACTCCGTATTCATAAAACAGTCTCTCCAAACCATCATGCCACACTATGATCCATTTACAGTGTGGTTCTGCACTTCAATATTACACTTTGGAGCACACTGGCATCTTTCTTTGTAATGCTGCTGCCAGGACATTTTGAATGCAAGGCTGGGCACTCAGCTCATGGATTCATCCTGTGAGCATCTCAGAGATCCTGCTTGCTGTTGTAGTGATCTTTTACTTAGTGCTTACTTCAATGCTCACAACACGACTTGTTACGCTTTGCCCCCAAAACAGAACTTAAAGGCTCAAGTATTTCTGTCTTGCTTGTGATTTTGCACAGACACAAATCCTGGCGGCTTGTCATAGTTGTCAGTAGTCACCAGACAAGAGGGTGGACATTATGCCTACATCAATGTTTTACCTGCGCAATGTGCCTGTAGCATGCTCCAAACACATAGCAAGTACTTTAAGCAAAAAGCCATGTCTCAATGTCGAAGGAGAGTAGTCGTCAGTTAAGGCAGGGGAGACATTATTCAGTCAGGTGGATTTGGCACAGTAGTCAAGGGCAGCCTCCAATACCAGAACAGGAGCTTGGGCACAGTAAATTAACCATGGGTCCAGTGCAACTAGTCAGGGAGTTGTATGAAGACAGTCAGTGCTGTATTCTTGTTATTGAGGGAGTCCAGTGAAGGTTCACCAAACTGATTTACAGGATGACATATGAAAAAAGACTGGATCAACTGAGCTTGTACTTGATGGAATTTAGAAGAATGAGGGGGGAATCTCATAGAAACATATAAAATCCTGATGGGACTGGACAGGCTAGATGCAGGCAGAATATGCCCGATGTTGGGCAAGTCCAGAACTAGGGGTCACAGTCTAAGAATAAGGAGTAAGTCATTTAGGACTGAGATGAGGAAGAATTTTTTCACTCAGAGAGTTGTGAACGTGTGGAATTCTCTACTAAAGAAAGCTGTTGGGGCCAGTTCATAAGATACATTTAAGAGAGAGCTGGACATGGCCCTCACTGTTTACAGGATCAAGGGGTGTGGAGAGAAAGTGGGAGTGGGATACTGAAACTGCATAATCGGCCATGATCATATTGAATGGT